CTTATTCCACTGAGCCATCTCCCCGGCCCCTTGATTTTATTATATAATGTAGTACTTTAGTTCCATGTTATGTAGTACTGTTTGTAGGAATTATGCAAATAAAAACAAACATCAAGATGGAGTTTCCTTTCACCAATTTTTTGTTCTGAGTATTGTAAGATAGGTACTATGTATAATTCCTCATCTAGTGACTAGCTTTAGCTACTTAAATCATGGGAATGGAATGAATGTCTTTATTATTGAATGGGGGGCCCAACCCTGAACTCAAGGTGGGCTGAGCTGCCCCTCCCCCCCAAAAGAATAGATTGAGATGTAGCTTAGCAGGAAGCTTCTGAGTTCAATTGCCAGTCTCATGAGAAAAGAAAAAACAAAACAAAACTAAATTATGGGTTCTTTGTAAGTAGACAATCTTTACCCAAAACACACATCCACAGGCGTACACACACATCTAAAAAAGGAAGTTTACATGTCAAAATTCTAATTTCACACTAGAATAAGTAACAAATTTCTGTCACTGATTTTTAAGAGGATAAGCCTAGGATGCCAACTTTAATTTTACTCTAAAGTTTCTCATCTTTTTACCTTCTTAACTTGTTTTTCTTTTGCCAGGCGGTGTGGGAATGATGTGCTCATTGAGTGAACAAGGAAAGCAGCTGGCTATCCAGGTGTCTAATATTCTGGGAATGGATGTGTGCGGCATTGACCTATTGATGAAAGATGACGGCTCCTTCTGTGTCTGCGAGGCCAATGCAAATGTAGGTTTCATCGCCTTTGATAAGGCATGTAATCTAGATGTAGCTGGTATCATAGCGGACTATGCCGCCTCCCTTCTGCCCTCTGGCCGGCTCACCCGGCGCATGTCCCTGCTCTCCGTGGTGTCCACGGCCAGTGAGACTAGTGAGCCGGAGCTGGGTCCCCCTGCCAGCACTGCTGTCGACAACATGAGCGCAAGTTCCAGCTCTGTCGACAGTGACCCTGAAAGCACGGAGCGAGAGCTGCTCACCAAGCTCCCAGGGGGCCTGTTCAACATGAACCAGCTGCTAGCCAGTGAGATCAAACTCCTGGTGGAGTGACTCCACCAGCCAATAACTAACCAACAAAACCCTTGTAAAATTTTCTTTTCAGTTCTTTTTTTCTTTTTTAACCAACTTGCAATGCTGTTCATGTAAGATGCTTAGGAGGATGAGAGAAAATGTGTAAGATTATTTGGAGAGAAAAGGGGAAATAAATGAGACCTCTGCTGGTAACATATGCTGACTTTCATTTGCAGACACTACAGAGAGGCAGAAGTGGTGATAATAAAAAACAAAGTGAGGCTCTCACAGTTAACTTTTAAATCACTGTGAAATTTGTATGCGCTGAGGCCATGCCGTGAGGAACACGAACATTTTGTTCACGGTCTCACCTTTGTTTATAACAAAACATTTTTTTATATACAAATACCCGATAGCATAACTTTACATTGCATTGTGAGATTTGTAAAGAGTGGGAGAAACATCTATCTGAATTACAGAAATTTTTATATACAAATCTGAAAATCCTGACATTTCACTGTTAGCAGCTTTAATTTATAGCTTGAGATCTCAAGGGGCGCTCCTATTTGAATTCTCATTTTTGTCTTTTTTTCCTTTTAAAATATGACCCAATAAAGGCTTTTTAGTGACAAAATTGGCATGCTTGCATGATGAAAGGAAATGAACAGTATTGCAATGTCTGGTATACAAAATAGCATTTACTCAATGTAGATAAAATTACCCTAGTTTACAATATGTGGATTGACTTGTATTTGTTAGTGCTTTAAAGTCTTTTTGAAAGACATATGCTCTGTTAATGTTGCATTTTTTTAATACATGCTAGTCTAACATTCCCTGCTCTATGCCTGCATCTTTAACAATGGCCAAAGTGAGAAAAATGCTACCTTTTTGTTAACAAGATACTGACTTGAAATATGTACATTTAAAGCCTTTTCATTTTCTTTTGGTGGTTGGACATTTAAAGAATAAGGTCAAGGAAAATATTTTTAGGGGGCAGATCAAGGGCCTGTAAGTTCTTAAGTATAACAGTTAAAGTTATTTCTAATGCCAGCATTATATATTTGCATTTTCCACATTTTACAAGGAAGTATATATATATATGTATGTGTATATGTGCACGCATGCATGTGTATGTGTTTTGCTTTTTGTTTATACCAACCAAACAAAAAAGATAGATTCTAGATAATAGAGCATGACAGGAAACAGTTTATTTTAAAAAACAGATGTATTCTCATGATTTAGACGCCCCTAGGGTAGAGATACCCACCTGAAGACATAAGGAGAATAGATGTTTCTTAGGCTTTTTTGTGTATATGTTGTTTGATTTTGGTTTTGTGTTCTTAGCCTGTTCAGTGTATGATTTATTCAAGGCCGTGTGCTGTCCTTCAGTACTTATGGCTATGCATTCATTGTCTTTCTGCACATAGGATTTGGGGTGGCTGGCCTTGTTTTTGTTTGGGAATTTATTTAGCAGTATTGAATCTCATATAGCCCTACTTTTAAGCCTTCAGTACTATGACATTATTATATTCCTTTATTTTTTGAATTTATAAAAGCCCCCAAACTGCATATGAGCCTTTAAAACATGGATAATAGCTATCCTAAGTAGGGTTTGGAAGGTATGTTAAGAAATGGGGGTACTACAGAGCTCAACATAATTTTTTAAGCAGCAAGTTTCATCTCCCTACAAATCCTCTGAAGCTTTTACCCAAGCCCTCTCTTGCCTCTCCAGTGCTATTTTCCTTCAGATGGACCTTAACATAATTTCTTGGACACTACTACATAGACTTCAAGGGAATAATAAAAGATCAGTATTAATCAGCTCTGACAGAGGTTTTGATCATGTTTACTTGTACAGCTTTCCCTTCATTAAAATAGAATGTAATAAAACTTGTTTTTTTCTATAGAATTAAGTAATATTAAAATTGAGTGAAAGGTTGACTGTTGGCAAAATAGAATAGTAAGTACCTCTACTCTGTGCACTGTCTCATTTCACCTCAGAGAAAAGATAACATACGAGGAGTTTCTAATTTGTCTTCAGGATATTCTAATTGCATTTAAAAGAATTTGACTTGCAAAGCTATGCGGGCCTCACACAAGTACCTCTGATGCATTAACAGAAGGAACAATACTTACTCCTTTTGCTGAATGACCATATTTGGGAGGGTGCATGCTGTTTGGTTTAGAGAAATAAAGGAAAAACTGCCTAAGCAAGCCATCACTCCTATGTTCTTGTAGAGACCATCTGATTGCCACATTATGACACAGTTTACTTGAACAGTTACATTACATACACATGTTAGTGCATTTATAAACACAAATAGAACCTTTTTATTTAACAAAAAACTTGTTTTGTGTTGGCGGGATAAAGGACCAGGAAAAATGTAGTTAGGTGCTTTTTAACTTTTATCAAATTAGGTATCTGTAATAAGAAATACCTGAATTTTTTTTCATTTACAGTTTTGCTCAATTTATCTATCTTTATGCATTCACATTATATTGAAACATAGTTTTAACAGCGTATTTGTGGATTTTACACCAATACATTAAAGTGAGAAGGGCAGGAATGGTCATTGAGACTTTCAAAACATGGGTATTTTCTCTAATCCCCTCTAAAATTAAGGTGAAGAATAAGAACAGATCACTTACTCTCAAAACACTTAAACAGCATTAAGTATTTAAATGGTAGTTTATTTTCATAATTGGTTAATATCTTTTGTATAACTTCCAATATTAAAAATGTATTTATCAATTTGTAATCATCATGCCAAAAATCTGAATACTGTAAAATTTTTGTGTATTGTTAAAATTGTAACTCAAAATTGTATTTTTTAAGTAATTCTTTCTGATATTGTTTTTATGTCATTCATGATGAAAACTGGACTTTCCTACCTATACATATGAACTATTCAATTTAAAAAATTTTTTAATAGTCTTTTTCTTTTTTGGTGCCTATAATTGGTCATTTCTGCTGGCTTTTCTCCAATGAACTCTGAAATCTTTCTGTATGTGCTCTCATTAAGAAAAATATCCTGGAACATTAGAAAAATCCAACAAGAGACTTGCTTTCGTCAAGCACTTTACCAGACTTTGAGAAAAGGTACCGAAGGCATTGAAAAAAAAAGTCATGACTTTCAAATCATCTCTTCTTTTTCTCAAGAAGAAACCAATGGAAAAATAAATTCTCTTCACTCAGTGAACCCCCAACTTGGGGCTTGGGGGGCATAGAGACATTGTGAAATCAAATCTTGTGTTACATTTTTCTCCTGGCTCGCTTTTTTGAGAAGGTTTATGGGCTATTTGGCTGGTGAGACACGATCCCCTCCTAAGAAAATGTAGGTGCTCAGACAGGTAACCTCTGCTGCTACTGTTTTTATTTGTTTGTTTGTTTAATTTTATTTAAATTTTGTTTTGTTGTACTAGGATTTTTAAAAAATGTAATATATTGCAGGATTTATAACCAGGTTTACTGCTTTCTTTCTTTTTTTCTTCAAAAAAGTTTCATTTAACATACAATTTAGGCACCTATGAAGCTTGGATGTTTCAGTAGTGGACAGAAATCTGCTGTTGGAATCTTCTAGTCTTTCAGGTTTAATTTGAAATGTTTTTAGTTTTGTTTTGGATTTTTGTGTGGTATTTTATTTCCTTTATACCTGTACCATTTGCCATGCTGTTTTGGGGTGGCTTCCTAACTCTAGTGAAAATTTTCTTCATATATTAACGAAAATTTGGCTTTTAAAGTTCCTTAATGTTTTACATTTTAAAAATTGTTTTTAAAGAAATATTCTAACTGTTTGCACTGTTACTGTTCTTTGCCAGCCTTTTCAGGAGCCAAAAAAAACCAAATACAAACAAACAAAAATATACCCAGAGAAAAAACTTTCCTTCTTCCCCCTTCCTGATGATGAGTGAGAAGTATTGAGAACTTTCGGGGTCAGTGCCCTTCTAAACTCCCCTTCCCCCATAATGCAGCTGTGTAATGAGTGCTAAGTGCAGCGGTTTGGATTCAGTCACAGCCAGAGCCTGCTGGCAGGTAATTTGACTCTCCTTTCTTTCCGCCACAAGGCTAACTTAACTTTCTTTTATTTAAAAAAAAAAAAAAAAAAAAAAAAAAATTGCTTCTTCTTGCACTTTAAAGGCGACCACGGGTATGTCATAACTCACTTTTTAAAAAATGCATAAATATATTAAAATAATTTGCTTCTGGGAATAAAGTTTGAATTGATTGGGATGAACTCAGGACTTTCTTTGGGAATTTGGGTTAGCTATGCAGATAATTCTATTCCTTGTATATATGTCTATAATGAAGCATTTCAGAGTGTGACTTTTTTGGCTTTGTTTTTGTTTTGGGTTTGTTTGTTTCTTCCATTGTGCTACTCTGGCTTAAGCTTTTTCAGGGGTTGGTGTTCCGAATACACAATGAGCTCACAGTATAAAGACATCAATTAGGAGTTGACAGGTATGGAAAACTAGAGTTTTGAAATAATAAAATTAGGTTCTAGGTTATATGTATGGTTAAAAACACCATAGCATCCAGTTGAGCTTAGTACTTCTCTTTTTATAATATAAAAGTGAAAGAGAATGATGAAACCTAGATTAATAGAAATTTTTTCATTATTTAAGAGAAATACAACATCAGAACTAATCATTTTAGCATTTCTGAGACAACTGTCAAAGAAACAAGAACAACTTGAGGTTATCATAAAATTCTTGGCTTAAGCATTCAGAAATTACAGATTTGAAGCAGAGTTAATGGCAGGAACAGGAGTGCATTGTGTTCATTTTGATCGCCTTCCTGTTAGTAAACCTTTGGAAAGTTGTTTGTCCCAGTCCACCTCCCCCTTCAACCATGAAGTCAATAGTTTCTAAGATTGCTATATTTATCATTTGAGGAGTTAATCCTCTTTCTGGTAGATAAGGTTTTAGTAAAAGTAACCAGGACTTTTTCACACATGCTCCTACATAATTTTAACCTGTGACTTTAAACATCCTATGGAGAGTAGCTCAAAGTCTCTCATGTCACTAGTGAATAGGAAATCCTGGCCAGAGGTGCTCTTTTTACAGTGTTATTAGCCTGTTTTGTGCTTCAGTTGACTCTTGTAAGATAGGAACAGTCATCTAAGTACCTTTTAGATAAAAATAATGATCCGTTGAATGAAAATTGACTAATGAAAGAATCCCAACTATACTCCTGCAGAATTGATAATGTATACCCAGGCTCATCCAGGAGACCTCTGCTCTCTTGCTGATTAGAATGGCCATGGTTAGAATGTGTAGAATATGTGATTGCATAGGGCATGCAGAGTTTTATCAGCCTCCATTCTGCTGCCCACATTGAATACTCCTGGTTTGTAAAGAATTATCTCACTTGTACGTTTTACCATGTTCAAATTTATGAGGTGGACCTTATTTATATAGTATATATGCACCTGGCTGCTACTGTGGGGTTTGGGAACATGAGGGGTGGGGTGAACTGTTGTTGTTTTAGGTCTCAGTCAGACAGACATCCCTGTGCCCAGTTCCCAGAAGCACAGCAGGCCTGTAGGAGCATCGGTGGGAACGGCGCAGCCCTGACATCACCACCTTCTCCTGCTCAGGCGCATCCCATATACAGAGGTCAAAAGGGTGGGGTTTGAGAGTGGGGAAGGAATGAGAAAGCAGAAACAGTATTGTAGTACCACTGTTGACAAGCTTTTAGTGCTTATCTTTAGTGTTTGTTTTATTACTTGATTTTTTAAAAAGTTGGCAAAATTATGCATATATTAATTTTGGGGTAAAGGTATTTGGGAGGGTGGAACAAAAACAGCCATTACTGTTATTATTAGCTCATTACTACATATACTGTTGTTACTAGGTGATGCACAATAAATTTGAAATGTGGATTCCAATGACAAGAATATATATATAAATCTTAGATTTTAACAAATAGAGAACATTTATGCTGCGCTAATGCCCAGTTCTCCTACAACTACTATAATTGCCAGTCTTTTTTCCTCTTGTTTTTCTGTATATGTATATACAGTTTGAGGAAATGTGCATTCACGGTTAGCCCTTTTTAAAGACTTAACAAATTTATTATTTACTTGCAAAAAAAAAAAACTTAGTGTTTATGTGGGCATACAAA